GACGACGCATGTAGAGTTCTATTCAATGATGGCTCATGGGTAAATTCAATTATGCAGTTTCGGCCACACACCAAAACGTGGAAAACTCGTATATTATTAGCGAGAATCCCCCGTGGGAAATAAAAGGCACCGTTCCCCCCGACTGCGACGCCAGTAATTCGTCGCCTCTAGTATCTCGTCGCACCCATCCAGCAGCCGGCCCCATTGCCTCAGAAACGGCACCGTCGCCTCCCAGCTCCGCGGATCCGACGGCTCGCCCCAGACCACCAGGCTCGCGCCGGCGCCGGCGTCCCATTCGACCAGGTCATCCCACAGCCGCACCTCGTCCTCCTCGGTCAGGCGCTCCTGCACGTAAATGGCCAGCAGCCAGTTATCGCGCATCCGCGGCAGCGGGAGAAGGTCGATCCAGGGGTGGTGCGGGATGCGCAGCTGCAGCGGCGTGGGTGTCAGCGACGCCGGGTAACAACAGCGTTGTTGTTGTTGTTGTTGTTGTTGTTGTTGTTGTTGTTGTTGTTGTTGTTGTTGTTGTTGTTGTTGTCCGGCGCCGCCGCCGCTGCTGGTCGGGACTGGGACCGGGACCGGGAGAGGTCCGACGAGGCCAAAGGGCGAGATGGCGCGGCACATGAGCCAGTCGCCGGGCAGCCGCAGCGCCGCGGCGTTTGCGGTCAGGGCGTTGATGGTGTTGAGCTTGACTACGCGCAGGAGCTGGTCCGTGTCTGGCCGGTTCGTGACGTAGCTCTGCGTAGCCTCGAGGGCGAAGCGCGCCAAAAGAGCGCGTTTTCGAACAACAGCCTTTGCGAGTGATTCATCATCTCCACCTTCACTGGCAGCTTCTTCTTTGTTGGTGTATGACGCGGCGGCGGCGGCGGCTGCGGCGGCGCCCTTGTCCACCGTCTTGGGCGGTGGCGGCGGTGGCTGCCTCGATCGTCCTTTTTTTGCGTGTGCGTTGATAAGTGGTAACCAAGCTTATCAGGCAAGGGGGGGAAGGGGGAGGGGGGAAAATGCTTACGAGCCCTCTGGTTGAGTCGATTCTGCAGTGTCTTTCTCTTTTTCTGATCGGTGATGCCCGCCCAGTCTTCCTTTGGACGCTGGACGTAGCTCTGGTGGCGCATGGGCCGCAGCGCGATTGGCTGGTTGGGAGGAGAGGCCATGGTTGCAAATGCAGGTTCTTTGGTAACAAGACAAGGGGTCGTATGCATGGGCTCTGGTTCTATATGCAGGTGGATGACATTCACGAGAATCATCGTCCGACGTCAGGAGAAAGACGGAATACATCCGCGAGTTGAAGGGTGGGGAGCAGAGTGCCGAGTACTATGTTTAGACCAAGATACGTATCTCTCTGGTGGCAAGGCTGCAACAAAGGATCATGCCAAGTGTTTCTAGTTACCAAGGAAGGGGCAGACAAAAATCTCATGATGGTGATTGCAGCTCGTCGTGGATCAAACACCCCCCTCCTGTGTGGAATATACAACAGGACAAGCTCTCACTATCGCACTCCGCCTCATCTACTAATTAGAGCTTTGTTAAATTGTTACCAACCGAGTCAATGCAATGGCTCTCTCACTGCTAAAGCCTAAAGCCGATAGAACTGCTTTGCCTGCTTAAAGTCCGAACGCTAATGTAAATGCAGCTCTAGACAAGTTCGTTATTGCCCCCAGGTGGAGCTGGCAACTTCGGTAGTCAATGCGAATGGGGCGATCTGCCTTGGGGCTAATGCAACTGGATGACAGAATCGTATGCAGATTATTAGGCTTAACGTGGTTCCCCAGATCTCCACGCTATTGCGTGGTCAACACTGCCTTACACACGTCACGTTGACCTCGGCCAACCCTGTCCATCACTTACTCAATCGTCTGCCAGGCCTCATTCGGCAGGAAGTATTCTACGCCGTGGATATTCAGGCCAGCACTAATGCAACTGGATGACAGAAAAGCTGTGTGGCGCAGACGTTGGATGAGATGAGCATCTAGATGTCCTCGTCATGTATGTTTGGTTCGGTCTGTCACTCGGTGTATTTGGGCTCATGCTTGAAGTTTGCACCATCTCAGCTACCATGTACAGGTTGACATCGTCATACAATACCTTCATTTTGCACTGCCTTTACTCAGTCGACGCATGAACATGTACGCGTGTCCTCTGCAGACTGACGATATGATGGTAATGGGCCACTTCAGTATCCGATGTTGCACTCGGTCGATCCTGCATCGATAGATACAATGGCCATATTACGACCAAGTTGCACAACTCCGCCCGTCCAACTATATAACCCTACCGTGAGGACGGACTCGGATCAAAGATGAGAATCATTTCAACACTCAATTTCTTTGTCGACATAGTCTCAAGTTCAACCAACAACAAACAAAATCTCAGCATGTACATGGGACGCAGCATCGCCGCCTTTGCCGCCATCGTCGTTGTGAGCACAATGCCAGCTACCGCACAAAACATGTCGTTTGGAGCCGACAACTTTTACCAAAGTGACAAGGTGTCTGCTCACCCAATCACCTTTAAAAACCTGTACGGCATGTCCATTGCTGCCAACTTGTACAAAGGCAGCAGCAGCAGCAGCAACAGCTCCTCCTCCTCCTCCTCCAGCGGCGGCGGCGCACCCGCCATTGTCGTCAGCCACCCATTCGGCGCCGTCAAGGAGCAGAGCGCAAACCTCTACGCCCAAAAGCTGGCCGAGCAAGGCTTCGTCACCGTTGCCTTTGACCACTCGTTTTGGGGCGCCAGCGACGGCGAGCCGCGCAACTCGGTCTCGCCCGATCTCTTTGTCGAGGCGTACAGCGCGGCCGTCGACTACCTCGGCACCCAAGACTTTGTCGACCGAGAGCGCATCGGCGGCCTGGGCATCTGCGGCAGCGGATCCTGGCTCGTCAGCGCGGCCAAGATTGACACACGCATCAAGGCCGTGGCCACGGCGAGCATGTACGACATGGGCGCGGCCACCCGCAACGGGCTGCGGCACGCGCAGAGTTTGGAGCAGCGAAGGCAGATTGCCGACGAGGCGGCGCGGCAGCGCTGGGTCGAGGCAGAGGGCGGTGCGCCTCGGTACACGGGCGGCACACCAAACGAGCTTACCAAGGACACGCCGCCTGTCGCTGCGGAATTTTACGACTTTTACCGCACGACGCGCGGCGAGTTTACGCCCCCGGGCGCGTCCGAGGCGCTGACCACGCACCCTACGCTCGTGGGCTTTCCCAAAATGTTTAATTTTTACCCGTTCAACGACATCGAGACAATCTCGCCCCGTCCGCTGCTCTTCATCTCGGGCGACCAGGCGCACTCGCGCGAGTTTAGCGAGGACGCGTACGCGCGGGCCGCAGAGCCCAAGGAGCTGTACTGGGTTCCGCGGGCTGGTCACGTCGACTTGTATGATCGGGTGCAGCTGATTCCTTTTGAGAAGCTCACCGACTTTTTTCGGACCAGTCTTTAGAAAAGGTACGGGGGTTTGCAAGCATCATGATGGACCTTGGACCACCTGGATGAGAAAGAGTTGCAAGGTCATGGAAAGAAACTGACTGCTGGGTAGAGCTTTGTCAATATTTCGTCCATACTTTTCTGCTACAATCATGAACAATTGTTCGCTTTCATCCACTGTAGATGAAAACTCGGGAGAAACGTGCTTGATAGTCCATGTCGACCCGTACTTGAGTGACTCCTGCTAGCTATTCACATTCGTAATACACAACCTCACGCCTGGTAAACGACTAGCGAAGGAAGATGGAGGCAAGGATTAATCAACGATAGTCAGAAATATCTTTCGAAACGTCCAAAAACACCCTCCCAAGGGTATTTCCTCAGTCTTCGGCCCCGAGACGGGGCAATCTAACTGACTACCGAACACACTTGATGTCGGACGGCGATAAGAGTATTTGTAGGATGCCTCGGTGTGTTGAATCAGCCACCAGCTGAGAATCAATTTAGTGAGGGGATCCCTCACAACTCATACGTAAAATGGGACCGCATTAGTGAATGGTACGTTCCAAGTTATCCCGCAATTCTGGCCCCAAGAGGGCTATATAAGAAAGGCAGGTTCCCTCCCCGGAAGCTGATTTGCAGTCTTTTACATCTTTCATGCTCATCTTTCACGCTCAAAGCCCACATTCATCGTCATCATCACCTTTTTTCCAAAATCACTATGTCTAGTTCCTTTTCCGGCAAAGTATACATCGTCACCGGTGGTGCGTCCGGCATCGGCCTCTCCACCACCAGAGCCCTGCTGCGCCGGGGCGCGGCCGTTGCTGTCTGTGACACGAACCAGGCCAGCCTGGCCAAGTTGCAAGCAGAGACGATGCAAGGCGGTAGCGACGCGGCGAGACTCTTTACCCGCCAGGTCGACATTGACAACCGCGCGGCCTTTCAGGCCTTTGTATCCGCCGCCAAGGAAGCCCTAGGCGGCAGCATCGACGGCTGCGCCAACGTCGCGGGCACGGCCGGGCGGCGTCTCGGGCACGAGACCATCTGGGAGGTCGATGACGCAGAGTATGATGCCATCATGGACTGCAACGCCCGCGGCGCATTCCATGTGCTCGCCGAGACGCTCCGGCCGGGCGTCTTGCGAACACCGGGTGCCAGCGTCGTGCAGGTGTCGAGCATGTATGGCTCGCGTGCGTTTCCCAAGGGTAGTGTATTCAGTGCAAGCAAGCACGCTGGCATCGGACTGGCGAAGAGCGCCGCTGTCGAGGCGGCCACGCGTGGGATCCGCGTCAATATTGTGTCGCCGTAAGCTTGCTTCCGCCCCATTTGGACACTGTCTTACCGTTATACTGACCCTTGATGTGTGTGTGTGTGCGTAAAGAGGGCCGATTGACACTCCCATGCTTCGGGCGAACCAAAAGCATGGCGGTGAGGGCACGGCGCCAGAGGTGCCAGCAGGTCGGCTGGGCGAGGCGGATGAGGTCGCCGACGTTATTGTATTTCTACTGAGTCCGGAGGCGGGATATGTCACAGGAGCGACATGGGCGGTGGATGGAGGCGCCAACTGCTGAGTAGAATGAGCCTTGGATGAACTTGGCGGAGAAGGAGGGGCGAGGACTAGAGGCTCGACAGTTTCAGTGATATACTGTGCTGATTAGAGATCAGATATATGATGAGCAATTGTCCGCCTTCGCGTACAGTGATCATTATAGCCACCACCCTGTCGGGATATGCCGTAAACCGTTTCCGCAGCTCAAAGGCAAATCCTGGGTTCATTCAGTAGACCTGACAAACCGTGGAAGTACCTAGATGTCTGCCAAACTAGTAGCCATATATTATAAATATATAATGGAATTGTTATTATCCAAGATGTTGACCGTGAGGTAAATTCGTGGCAACTTGACTTCTCCTTGCAGCGGCTGTGTCCTGGGTCGGGACTGCGCCTGGGAAAGAGTGCGGGTAATGATACCGTCAACGATTTCAACTTTTATCCGAAAGAGATCATCCGAGTGCTTCTGGTAGCGAGCGAGTGTCCAACTTTGCGAAACATATACAAGACATTGTCGATTGTCGTCTAGGATCCTCGTGTCAGTCAAACAACCACACGACATGCCTTAACTCTTGGCTAGAAAAGATGGGTCATGGTCACCACGAATGAATTTCCGTTGACTCACCGTTTTTAGGTGCCGTGGGTGCCTGAGTTCTGGATGATGCGGAGATGTGGCAATCAGCTTGACAGACGGTTCTCGCCTGTCGGCGACGTTGCCCGATAGCTGTGCCGACGTCGAGGGATACGCGTACTCTGGAGCTTCTTGAACAGCAATCGTGTCAGGGAGCACCTTGAAGCCCACGAGTAACGTCAATTGCGCGGAAACAAGGATACCCGGTGTGCAAGTCGGGATTGTACACCGTATCATGTCCAGTGGCGACAATAGGTAGGGAGCCGTGGGAGCCCATTGAGATGCGACGAGGCAGACATTGATGACCAACTTATACGAGTTTCCTTCGGCAGAAGCATTCTTTGACAAGAAAAGGCATCAAACAATCACCACCACACAGCCATCAACGATGCGTTGAGATCATACGGGACGTTGGAAAGTGACCCTTGCTATACTTCATTACCAACCGTCACGCCCAGCCAAAGCATCATCAACAATCTACAACGTTTGTAGGGCCTTTTTGGTGTCGAATTCTTAGTTTGAGCTCTACAAAGCAAAGCTTGAACTAAGCCTGATGTGGTTGTTTTCCCCTTGTGCCGGTCCTTACCATGCTGCGATTGGGAAGCGTGGGTTTGCCACCACGTACGACCAGGATGCTGCGAGTGTGCAGCAAGAGAGACAACAAGTACACCACCAATTTGTTTGGTGCCCGCAATGAGGAGCAAGGACAAAGAGGAGCATGCAAGCATTAATGAGTCGGAAGAAGAAGACAGGAAAATTGCCACGTCCCTTTACCGGCTATGTACGCAAGTCTTACACAAGCCTTCTTCATCATGGCATCGAGATGTGTCATGCAGATTGTGTGGCAGATAGAGGTACAGTTCAGGAAAGGCTGAATCGTGATGCGGAACGCATCGAGATATTGGATTGTGGTTGGCTCAGCGGGCAGGCACTGCCTGGTAGGGATTTTTTTTTTTTTTCGTTTCGAGTGGCGAACGATCAAGGACGTCAGAAAAAGAGAGTGTGATGGCAGCAGAGCCGAGACAAGGAGCAAGTTCCTGCCCTGTAATTCATCAATAATACTTGTCGCTGCTTGTTATCGTCAAGTGTGGATGTGCAATACCAATTTTGCTCTCTGTGGAAGTTTTGAGTGGATGCGCGACTCATGATTAGGCTGTGTATGCTCGATGTGTTGTTGGCTGAGCTGGTGGCACCTTGATCGATGCTTTTTGTTTTCTTTTTGTTTTCTGCTGGTTTCTATCTCATGACTCTTCGTATTTCGAACGCCAGGGCCAAGGCTGACGTTCAGAACGGTGAGACGAGGAAGAAGCGCGCCATGCAATAATTGGGAAGAGACTTTTGGCGGGAGGGTGATGGCGTGTCGGCCGCAAGACCTGTCGATGAAGGTGGAAATGGTCGATCGCCGTAGCCGGGTAAGAATGGAGGGGTGGGAAAAAAAGAGGTTCCTTCCTCGTCTTGGCTGCAAGGTACTAACCATTTCGACTTAGTCCGCATGTGCCTGTGTGTTCTCACAACCTTCTTATTAGGCCGTGCAGCCAAGTTGTGGTGGGTTGGGCCCTTGGACTCGTAATCTGATGAGCTAATCAATTGCCGCATGATTTGATGTGGATGTGAGCAGGAACATGAACGTGGGAGGCGCTGGCAGTGTAGTGTCGTGAAGCCGAGATGCGGCAGACCTGCTGATCCAAACGAGTGTTTTTCATTTTAACTTTCTTGTCAAAGAAGATGAGCTGTTGTGACTGCTGGTGTCCGCAATGGTGGCCGTGCAGATGAAAGCAATCAATTTGCCTTGACGGTTATGATAGACGGCGCAGATGACCTGATCAATCGGCTTGTGCTGTACGCTGCTGCTATCGTGGCAACTGAGAATTCAATGATACAACGTAAAACGTCTGATACGAATACAACATACGCTATGCGATGGTTTCGCCTAAGGAGAGATTTGATATGGGTGTTGCACGGTTGCGATGACTGGCACTACGGTTGCAAAACATATCTGGGGCGGATAACATGGGCAAAACAGCGGCGCAATGCTAGCCTTGGACATGGTGGCGCTCTTTCATCTTTTTCTTTCTTCTTTTCCGCGGGTTGCGTGGGCGGGCAACGAGAGAAAAGCCTAGACCGTGGCGACGAAGATTATTGTGGTCACAAGTAACATGAGGCCATCAGCTGCTGATGAACTCTCGGGGTTCATCGTTGAAAAGGGTGCAGCTGCTGATGAAGGCCCTCGAGGTTCAAGCTGTTGAAGGGGGGGGGGAGGATGAGGGCTCGTAGTAGTTAGGCACGGAGTACCAAATCATGATGTGGGGAAGAGGAGTGATGGGAGAAGGAAAGGGGCGAGAGACATGTTTTCAAACTGATGCATATTCCCAGTCCAAGGTACTGGGGGCGAAGAAGGACGCGGGTTACATTTGGAAGCAAACGGAAGCACCGACGAACGGTGAGGTAGCAGCGGGGCAAGCTTGTATATCAACGGGGTGGGTAGGTGGTTAAATCAATAAACATGTATTGTCATTGTCTGGCGTAGGGGTTAAAAGGGGTTCTTTCAGGGTCAGCAGCTCCGGCAAGATGAGAAAACTTCATCATGGGCAAGCCACCTTGAAAATCAAAACCACTTGTCAATTGTTGACAGGGCGCATGGACTTGCTACAACTTGCTATTAATCCGTTGACGGAGTATCCGTACCGGTACGGATACAGCAGGCCGCTAGACACACGCCCCCCCCCAGGTCGCACACCTTGGCCCTCGGAAAATGGGTCCCGCACCATTTTCAGCATGCAAATTGTCGATGGCCACGCCAAAACAACGATGACCACGCCAAACCTCGATCCCAGACTCGCAAGTTCGATGGGCACGGCAGACAACTGGCGCCACTTTGTTGGTGGGATTCCGGACTTTTGTGGTTGTGTGGCATGCAAAAGACGAAACCTCCTATTATTCTTCTTTATTATTTCCTGATTACCCCATCTCTGCTAAATACCCCACCCGCCACCGTTTATTTCTTGTCTTTGTGTCGACGAGCAGCTAGCTAGCTGTCTTGTAAGTTGTCAAAAGTCGTCACCACTCTCCCACACGCATATAACGAAGGATACTCACTCACACCATCTCGCTCCTCATCTGCATGCTTGCGCGCCATAGCGACCTACGCCTCACTGTCTGAAAAATTGTATCCTCGAATCTTGGTCGCTTCTTTCAGGCGACTTGCGCTTTGCAACCCCCTCCCGGCGACTGTCGTGCTGCCTCGAGGCATGCACTTGTCCTGCATCTTTTTAGACACCTTATCCGGAGGTGTGCCTCCCCCCATCTCATATCATGCTGCTTAGTCACTAGAGACACCAACATCGAGATCTAGGATTTTTTTTTCATGTTTTCGGATTTTTAGCATCCCCTCCCCCGCTTTTGAACATACGCCAATGACCCAACGCCGTTATGCTAATGCTGGGAAAAAAAGAAAGTGGACAATTCACGACATGGAGAAACTAGCAGTCATTAAATCGAAGAAAAAGCACAGACACACACACATATTTATTTGATACTCACGTAGATGCACAGTGCATACTGCAAAGTAGTGGTTACTACTGAAACGTCAAACAACAGAGATACCTAGGTTGTATGTAGACAACAGGCTGCATCAGCAAGTTTGGCTGCCTGCTGCCTCTCGACCGAGTAGCAAAGATTACTGATACTTGTCCTTTTGGATTAAATGACCAATCACAGGACCCTTTTTTGGCGTCTTCTCTGCATACAAACGAACGTGCGCCATGTCTCGCTTCCCCGACGCCGCTCTTATTCTCTTTTCTTTTTCCTGTTTCGAGCCGACCCGCCCTCCATAATTGCATGCGCCTGCGGGCTGCGGCTCGCGCATTCTCCGCACTTCCAACATCTCGGAGGAAAAGGCGAGACCTGTGGGTTTCAAAACAACTTGACATTGCGGTCACCAAGTTTGACCTCTACTGCGTCAACGGGAGCTGCATGTTTAGGAAGCAACGCAAAGGGAAAGCGTAATCTGTTCACTTTGTGTCACATTTCTCGATAATTTGTCGTAGACACGGCCTAAGTTTGGGTCGGCTACTCCTCTTTGCAATGTCAACTCGTACGGAGAAAGCTTGGGCATGTTCTTTGGCTACATCGCACCAGAGGGCAAAGGCCATTGGTCTGGCTGACGCTTGACCTAGTTTGGGTCATCGACGATGCTGTAGGCGCGTGCGTCTTCTTCATTGGACGTGTTGTGGGTATTTAGTAGTAGAGAAAGCGGATGGTGAGTGATGGTGAGTGATGGTGACTGATAGTGCCGATGACGATGAAATGGAGACTAGCCTGGAAATCGTCGAATCGGGTGCCAAAGTTGAAAAACATCGATCTGTGCCGCGTGTAAATACGAGCCGCAAATGGGTCTGCACTAACTTTGTTGCTTGTCTTTCCTTTTCCAGTCTTGTTCATCTGTTGTTACCCCACGTCATCGGTGGTTCCTGTGTATCGTGGTCGTCATTGACAAAGCGTCTAAAGCCGGGCCGTCATGGCTTGGGTACAGGCTGTTACATCGCTCCGCGGATACTAGACCGCATCAACAGGTTTTGGTACCATGCCCAACTTGTCTGCTTGGTACCTGCTTGCTTGTTCAGTTGCCAACCCGCTCGTAAAGTAACTTGTTTGCAAATTATCTGTACCAGGATGCTGCGAGGTCCTGTTTTGGTCCGGCCATGAGATCATGGCTGGCTTTCTTTGTGGCTTTCACTGACTCTATTTTTGTCGCTCGAAAAGTTGAAACTGAGCCAGTGCCCCAGTGACGATCGATGACCTAGTGTGGGGGTTCGTGGGTGTGACCGCTTCACGTCGGCGCTGTTGGTATTGGTCATTGTGATGGTTGACTGTTGACTGGTTGGTTACTCAATGACACACAACTAGAGACGCCGCAAATTACTTACATGATCACGCGATCCCTGTTTGTATCTCGAGTTCATGTGTCTAGCGTCTTTTTGTTTTGATGGTCGAAGTAATTTTCGACACAAACGTTCCATTTGTCTGAAAAACTCGAGGGAATCGACATGCCGGATCCATCGCGCACTGACTCAGCACTGTGTCGTTCCCTGCAACAAACGGGAAAAAACGAAGACCAGGGATCGTTTATATGAAGGGGCCATGCCTGTAACGTCGTACGGACTTCGGAGCCGGCTGCGAATTTGCGTACAGGCCATCACTCACCGGCAGTCTCGTAGACGAAAATATGAAATGGCAAGAAGAGAAAGGATTTGCACATTTCATCAGTCGTACCGAGCAGGAGCGTGAATGGAGCCGGGGGTATGTGGAATATCCAGTGAGTGCCTCAGGGGAATGTGGGGGGCAGGGGTATATAGGAGCGAAAAAAGAGTGGGATAATAACTGAATACTGCAATGGTCAAGTGGTAGAATATTGCCATTTGGCTCCCTATGCCATTTATCAGTCATTGTAGACGCGGCATGGTATGCCCGAAATTGTCTCCGGTGCCGTGTCTGATTTGCAGCATGATGCGCCACTGGTCAGTGACTGAGTCTGCTCTGCAGCTAACCATCAAGTGCATTAGGGCTCTTTATTAGGGCTCACAATTCGGCAATGGCTTATACGGCAACGGGATTGGGGTTGAATGGCACGACGAGAAAGTGCTTTTGTGGTAACGTTATGGAGTGTTGCAACGGTTATGAACGGTAGGCGATTATCTAGCTTGCCAGCTAGTGAGAGCAGCTAGTAGCCCACTATTCTTCGATGGAGACGTTCTGCACCCACTCATCCACTGCAGCGCAAAGCACCCTTTTTTTGTTTCTTTTTGGTAATAGTCTAGGTAAAAATTGGGTGAGAGTTTAGAAATGCGTCAAAGAGAGGGCAGAGATGGGATTCATCTGAATATATAATTCTTTTCAACAAAACAGATAGAATATATTCGGAACACAGTACAAGACCTGCCTTCCCGGGCTTTTCTACGTCCATTGACAGGCAGCCTGCCAGCTGTGAACTATTAGCCGCCGAACGCCAGTTGCTAGCTGCCCAGCCTACGAATACTCGCAGCTGTTCACACAGTCGGGCAATTGGCAGCTAGCTGGCAACTGGCAACTGGGGACTGGCAACGGGTAGGCAACCGTCAAGCAGGGACAAACGCAGGTACTTGGCTTTCGCCAGACCTCTCACCTACTGTGCACACCCCCCCTCCTTCAGCCGGCCGGCCCCTCTTCTTCTCCTCTCACCCCTCCTTTACTAGCTTCTGGGACCTTTCGACAGGCTGCCCACGCAACCTAGCCCTCTACGGCTCTACCTAGGGAAATGTAGACCTCTGAATGGTCCACGACGACCGACGCTTCTACCAGGCCACGAGCCTAGGTAGGTAGTCCTGCCCATGCCTCGTCGGCAGCTTCTCTATTTTTCTCTTCTTTTTCCCCTTCTTTTCTCTTTTCTTTCCAGAGCCCGTCCCTCTTTCTGCATCTTCATCAACCATCAGCCGTCTCTCGCCTCCCGCTCCTCGCCATTGCGGTCAACTTCTCTGGCCCCGTCCCAATTCTTCCAGCCGTCCCGCCCCTCGCCGTCTCTACATCGGCATGTCCATCCATCTGCCTCTGTTCGTCGTCTAGGGTTTCCCAACCAGAACTGAAATCTCGATTGTCCTGTCCAATTTGCTGCCCTACCCTCTCAACGCACTCTCCACACGCCACACCTGGCAAGGATCGCCAGCGCTCTATTGCGTCACAAACTCCATTTCCTTTCCACTAGTACTAGCAAAAACGGGCTCTCAAGCAATACCACACCCGCCAACGCGCTGCGGCCCTGCCAACCTGTTCGATTCGATCTTGACTACTGAGCGACTCACTTCCCTTTTAATTCACTCCTCTCTCATTCATCTTCGTTTGCTCTCACTCACTCTCGATCGCTCTGCATTTCTCTCACTCTGCTACTTGTCTCCATCTTTGAAACCATTTCGACGTCATTTCACTATCACCAGACTCCGGCCTCACAACCCGCGTCCACTAACAACGTAGACAGCGGTCATCGCCAACGACTAACTACTTCTCGCCACGCGCTCCCTACATTTACACGCCCGTTAGGACTCGTCACTTACACCCTCCCACCCAGAAGCCGCACCGGCCAACCTTGTGCCACCACCTGCACCAAATTGCCCGCTGCATCTCGATTTCTCTAAGCGATTTTTCACTACTGGATTTGCTCCGGAACGGATTCCTCGGTTGTCAAACATCATTCATCATCGCCCTCTTAATCCCCGCTGTTGCCTCATTGCCACCTTCCGCTGCGCGAAATCCACCTTTAAAGACGGCAATCTCGAATCTCTTCAGGTCTCGCATCGCCCTTTTTTCACTGCTATCCGTTTTGTATCTAAATGCCGGCCATTGGTACATCCGCTATCCATCAACCCCTCAACAAGGAGCCCGTGATTTAGTGACGGACTCAGCACTGTTCCTGCCCACCGACACTCGAAAACTCGACTGCATGCATCGAGAGCTTGAATCAGTTTTTGCCGAGCTGGGCCTTGCTCACTACCTCGATGCATTTGTAGATCAAGGTTTCGACTCTTGGGAGACCATTCTCGATATCCAAGAGTCTGACCTGTGAGTGCTTGCACCACGGGCTACTCACCTCCCTCGATCCGTATCTAACTTTGAGAATAGTGATGCACTCGGAGTCAAGCTCGGCCATCGACGCGTGAGCAGTGACCTTACATATTTGCTTGCCATTTTATGCTCACATGACCTCCAGAAACTTCAAAGGCGTATTGCCAATGCTCGCGGCATCGCCCCCAGCATCTCACTAGTCTCGGCGCTGAAGCCTGGTTCAGAAGAGGGCAAGCAGCAACACCTTAGACGAGATAATCCAACTCGCTCGGAGGCCGGCTCTGAGTCAACCAACGGTGTAACAAAAAGGAAGTATCGGCGTCATCCAAAGGTACGTGCTTATCAATAATTACGTATCCGGCCCGCCCGCTGATTTGCCACAGCCAGACGAACATGCCCCGGAGCGGCCACCCTCCGCCTATGTTCTCTTTTCAAATAGTAAGCGTCGTCTGTCCTTCACACGTTTCACATGAGCACGGCCTAATACATTACCCCACAGAAATGAGAGAAGATCTCAAGAGTCACAACCTATCCTTCACGGAAATTGCGAAGCTCGTCGGAGAGAATTGGCAAAATTTGGACCAGGCCGAGCGAGAATCATTCGAGAATCAGGCAAACGTTGCCAAAGACAAATATCGACGAAGCCTTGCGGAATACAAAAAGACTCCAGAATATCGTAGATATGCCCAGTATCTTCAAGAGTTCAAGGAGAAGCAGAACAAGCACAATCAAGGCTCCAAGGCCCATCTATGTAAGCATGCTCCTCCTCGCCCTGTTGTGATACACAACTTTGCTAACCTCTGGCTAGCCACAGACACCTCGAAAAGGCAAAGGTTTGATGGCAAGCGGGAGGCTGCTCGACTTCGTCATGACAGCAGCTACGGAAGTACCACAAGCGGCGGTACTAATGGTACACCTTCGAGCGGTGCGTCCGGAACAGCAAGCGGTAGCAGCAGCGAAAGGTTGAGAGAAAGCGAGCCGCCACCTTATCGTCGTCGCCGAGTAGACTCCATTGCCTCGATTGCCGAATCACAAGCATCCTCAACTGCACCGACAGCACTGTCGCAAAGGAACTCCCTCGACGAAAATGCCTTTTCGCCACGCTCCTCTCATATCGATGGGAATAGCCCTGTCGACGGCCGCTACTCGCAGCACTCAGCTGCGTGGTACGACCGCTCAAACCCTTCGGAACACCCAACGATGCCTCAGCAATTACCCTCCCTCTCGGATATGCTCGATAAAGATAATCAACAAGGCATTAGTGGACGGCTTGCGCCTGATGGCTCGCCTTCCATGGGTATGGGCTCGTCTACCAGCTACCCAGCGGAGGATGCTGTGAGGCGCTCTGGAGGATCAAAACTGCCCGATTCACGTCCAATCAGCGAGGGCGCGCTGCCTATTCATGCACTCCTCTCCAATCAGGCAACATCGAGTGCACGATATGCCAAAGCCCCTCAACAAAGGGGCCCGCACATGCCTAATAGTAAGAACACAGTTGAATCTCCCCATGTCTCACCTGGCTATGGTAAGTTGGAAAATTTCTCAATGCATTCGCGCGGTTCGCTGACTCGTATACAGGCTTTCTCTCCAACTCGCCAACCTTTCGGCATATGAAGACGGAGCAGTCGGGAGATGGCGACGTCGTCATGACGACAGAACGGTCTCCCACCAACACTACAGCTGAAAAGGGACGCTTTGACGGTATGAGCGCTCTGCTCCAAGCCGGTGAAATCGTCGGCCGTCGAAGTGGCCGTCGGTGAGAGCCAGCTACGTGATCAACCAGTCTCTCCATACGTGATGAGGCTGATCCTTTTCCCTCTCTCTTCTTTCATTTTCTTGACATGTTCAGCCAGGATGACAATGCTTTCACAATCGTATTCGGAGAACTGCGGCGTTTCTTTTGGAATTTTTTGATATCTATTGGATGTATGTACCGGCAATATGTTTTCATCTGCTTCCTATGTCAGTGGATACTCTTGGGACAATTTACGGGCAAGCACAATTGGCGAGGCTTATTTATGATGCTTTTTTGCTCACGATTTCAGCGTAGATCTCTGTTTGAAAATTCCTTCTGTATTTTGATTATTTCAAACTTGTTAATATCGGGTGTTTAGTGTGCGACAGATGCAAGTTCTGATAGGGGAAAAAGGAAATCAGGACTGGATCGAGAAAAACAAAATCGAAGAAGGAATCTTGCTTGTTTATGTTTGTTTATTTGCACACTCCGAAGCACAAACAGATTGCGAGCATGTTGCGTCGCGCAAGCGGCCAGCTGGCAGCTTCCATGTATATAAGTTAAATGGCTAATCAATGACCTGAATGACTTGATCAATTCAATGTGTCTGTTTCCTGATTCAAAATGACGCTGTATGGTCTTCGAGCGTCTTGCTATTGTGCCCACGGCAAAGAAAGGAAACGGGATTAAAGGCGCTGCATCAAGAAGATTTGCTTGGTAAAAAAGAAACAATAAATATTTGATAGATGGTCATCATTATACAAGAGTCATATCCCGCTCATAGGCGTCCTTTGAAGCCTCTGCCCACCTCTCCCTTGCCACGGTATTAATCAAATATGCGCATCCACCTTTGCAATTCCCTACGCCTCGCCTTCTAGATTTTCGGCCGTCCAATCCTTGCGAATATCCAGCTCCCTGAGATCCTCGGTCGTGTCAATGATGAGACCACGCTCGTTGGCAAGGTGCAGCAGGCTGATGAAGCAGTACGATGTGGAAATGTCGTTCATGACGGGCTTGGGGTACACGCGCTGCAAGTCATTCATGACCTTTGTGAACTTGAGCGTCGGGTTCGTGGCTGCGTCCTCGGGCGGCTGCTGCGGCTGCTGCTGCTCCGAGAGGGAACGGCGGCCGGCGGGCTGGGGCGGAGGAACGGCCGTTGGTGTCTGCGTCTGTTGTTAGTATGCATGTGCAGAGTGTGCGTCTTCTTCTTCTTCTTCTTCTTCTTCTTCTTCTTGTGCGTGTGTAGGATGTGCTTACTTGAAGGGCTTCCAGGCCCATGCCTTTCCATATCTCATCCTTGAGGCGGCGAATGTCGACCTTTTTTGCCACACGCGCATACTGCACGTACTCCGGACGCGCGCGCCTCGTCGCCGCGACAAGCGTATCGCCAAAGGCTCCCATGGGATTCGCCAAGGTGTCGCCGCCAAACATGGCCGTCACGCCGCCCACATTCTCGGTAAGGCCCATATCGGCGCCCGCGCCGCCCAGGTGCTCCTGAGCGTCCGCAAACTCCATGTCGTCGTCATCATCGTCGCCGCCGCCCGCAAACGGCAGAGCGTCATCTTGGAAAAAGTTGGCATCGTAGTCGCCGCCAGGGAGTGCCGTCTCCTCGGGCGCCTTTTGCTGCGCCCAAAACGCCTCGTCGAGCTCACCCACAGGCTGGTTGTCCACGTCGTGGTTGCCGCCAAACATGCGGCGCACGCCGTGCGGGTTACCGGTGCTGCGCTGAATCAAGCGCGCCTTGGGCTTGAGGAACAGGCTCAGCAGCGACTTGGAGTTGAAGTGTTTGTCGTCGGGAAGCAGATTGCGCGACTTGGACTTCCAGTCCTTCTTGGCTAGGCTGATGGTGGTGTTGCTTGCGGCTTGTGTGTAGAGGGCATCAAGGAAGCTCGAGTCGAACGCGGAGCCAAAGTCAATTTCGAATGGCTCTTTTTCCTTGCGCTTTTTGGGCGTGTCGCCAGCAGGCTTGCTTGTATCTTTGATTTTGCGGATGCGCCAGTGCTCGGCGCTTGTCCAGTTCTTTTGTAAAGCCTGATCAAAGAAGCTCAGAATATCTTGGTGCATCTTATCAGCATTTTGTGGATTTGATACAGAAATGACGTAGTCGCCATTTTCATCAAACTCGTCTTCCTCGGCACCATATTCTCCTCCCATGGCCTTGTCGTATACACGCATTTGCGGTTCCAGCGCTGCCTCTCTTGCCCACGCTTCGCCGCCTTCGCCAAAAGCAACGTCGTCGCCAATGTCAAAACTGCCCAGACCAAGATCGTCATCATCAAAGCCCATGGGTGCGTCGCCGTCTATGAGCATGCCAGAGTTGTCACCAAATGCGCCAGGCAGGCGTCCATCCTCGTCTCCGCGCCAGTCCTCGGGGGCCTTGAGGAAAGGAATGTCCATGGATCCGGAAGCGTCACCGAGCTCGAAGTCCTTAAGCGAAGGGCAGACGTCCAGTTCGTCCAGCCGGCTCAGGTTAGGGAAATAGCGCTGTCGCAGACCAGTCAGGTCAATTTCGATATCTTGAGGGTCGTCTTCCTGCTCAGCCTCCTCGATGCGCAGAGCCTCGACGTCGCTCTGAAGCTGCGAGATGTCACTCTCGAGATTTTCCTCGTCCTCGTCGAGATCAGCTTCTGCTCCTACTTCGGCTTTCTTGTCGCCAGTGAGGCCCATAGCGTCAGTGTCGTCGCTGCTATCAAAGACGATACGACCCTGGGAATCAATCATGAGGTGGTTGAGGAGAAGACCCTTGGCACCGCCCTCGTCAAAGTCGGCAGAGGCCTTTTTGAAGAGAGGGTCGACAGAAAACTCGAGCTCAAATTTTTTGAGTTGTAATGATGAGAATGAAGGTGCCAGCGTGGCTTCGGATCGATGCGACTATCGTGGCTTGTCAGCAGGCGTGCGTCGCGCCGTGTGGCTGATGAATTATTACCTTTTTCTTGGGCTTCTTCTTTACGTTGCCGTCTTCGTCTAATTCATCCTCGCTCTCCTCTTCGGCACCCTCTCCACCGTCGCCCTTCTTCTTGCTGTTGCTGTCGGCCAAGCCGCTGAGCAGCTTACCTGTCTCGGTCGCGACACTATCGACTCTGTTTGTGTAAATCTTGACGCAGCCGTCGAGAGTGCAACTGGCTTTTTGAAAGTTTACACCGTCGCCCTCTTTGAGCAGGGACATGTCATGGAAGTAGTCGATGAGGGCAAAGTTCCAGGAGTTGGTGGCGTTGATTTTATTGTCGGTGGCCATCTTCATCCATTCCTCAAAGTTGGCGAGAATGGGGACACGCTTGTCGGGAGTGAGATTGACACCGTTGATAATGATTGGGTCATCAGAGAGGTCGAGGCCACGCGAGGCGCGCGGCGTGCCGGCGTTCGAGCCTGGTGCTGCATTTTCAATGTCGTCGATGCCAAGGCTGGTTTTGCGCGAGTTGGACGCAGCGGCCTTGAGCTGGTTGATTTGCTTTTCGTGGAGGGCCTTTCGCGAATGAATGCGTTTGCCGCGCTCCTCGGCATCATCGTTGAGGGGTATCCTACATCGTGAGCGTATTTTGTGAGTATCTGCGCGGTGCTGTATTGCGCGACCCTGGTGAGGGGCTCGGTTGTTACGCGACGCGATGAACTTACGAGCTTAGCGACCTCGATACCGATCTGGCGCTGCCAGAGCGTGGCATCTGAGCAACGCGAGGCATTTTCGAGGAGCGTATGGTGACCAAAAAAAAAGCCGTTATGCAGATTGGTTCTCCGGCTCAGGGCCCTGTGTCGCGTTTGGCCGCTGAAGTGGCAGTAGTGTTGCCTTGGATTCGCTGGCTGACCAACAAAGTAAACAAAGTGCCTTTTTCAGGATTTGTACACAGAGTGGCGCGATGCAGTGTGGCTGGTGCACGCGGGTGTGGCGGCGCAGGAGCCTCGAATTTCAGGTGTCAGGTGTCCAGCTATTTGAGTTTCTGCAGCACCCTTAGTTGCACACGTGAAGTAAAGCCACAATAGCATGCACCCAGTTATCACAGCCACGCGACCGCTCAACCCGCTGTTGCCGCTACCGCTGGCCGCTGTACCTGCTTTTCCAGTGGGTGCTGGAGGCCTCAGCCACCAATCCCGCCACTCTAGGTAGGTGGTCCCAGCCAGGGTGCCAGATCGCTGTAATTGCGCCAGCTGCCCGCTAGACCATCGGTAATGCACCAGCATAAAGTGGTGCAAGGACATAGCGTACCAGTAGATTGGCCAAGGCCAGCCATTTATCCATCACCTTATGCTAATCGCCTTTTTACAACTTGCGCATTACCTCATCATCCACAACCCTTTGGACCTTGCATGAAAAGTCTCTAGGGATTCGGGGCTTCCAGCTCCCTCACCAACATATCGACCTCGAAGCATTCGTCGTCGCCGTATCTCTACTTCCCAAGTCGCAGGCGCCTAATCCGTCACAATTCCGAGATGCCTATGCCGGCACCATGGCAGCAGTCCTAGCCCGAGGCCGCCGACGCCTCAGTACCTGGCCTTTTGCCATAACGCTCATCATTATTGCCATTCTCTCCGCATACTCGTTTCTTGCGCATACACATCAGTCTCTGCTGCCTAGTGCCTTGACGCCCAACCCCGCCCCTCACCTTGTGTCTCGGAGCAAGCATGCCGATCCGGAATGCCGAGAGGTTCGCCTCGCCAAGGACCAGTGCTCTTTTATCAAGAAGTACTGTCGAGATGACGATGCCGGCCTCATATCCTACTTGGATCTCTACTATTGCAAGCTGGGCCATGCCCAGCCGTTTGCGTTCATCTTGATTGTCCTTTGGCTAGGATTGCTCTTCACAACCATTGGAATTGCCGCCAGCGACTTCTTCAGCATCAACCTCAGCACTATTGCCACTATCCTACGCTTGAGTGAAAGCTTTGCCGGTGTCACGTTTCTTGCCCTCGGCAATGGCTCCCCGGATGTCTTTAGCACATTTGCTGCCATGGGATCTAACAGCGCTAGCATGGCTGTCGGCGAGCTGCTTGGCGCTGCTTGCTTCATCAGTGGTGTCGTCGCAGGGTCGATGGCTCTGGTACGAGAATTCAAAGTTGACCGAAGGTCCTACGTGCGAGACATTTGCTTTCTTATTGTGGCTGTCATTTTTACAATGATCTTCCTAGCCGATGGAAGCCTGCATTTCTGGGAGTGTTTGGCCATGATAGCCTATTATTGTGTCTACGTGGCTACCGTCGTTGGTTGGCACTGGTATTTCTCGCGCAGAAAGCTTCGCCTTCGTCGCGAAGGCGAAGCTCGCAGCCATTTCTACGGTTCTGCTAATCAAGCCGGTGACGAGTTGGCTGGTGAGCCATACCGCGATGACCCTGATGATGTTGACCGCACCCATGGCACCTCAGAGCCGCACCGGCCCGACATTTCTGCCTTAGAGGCTGGCCCACGCATTGAACTCGAAGGTCAGGATTGGGACGAGGTAGTCGATGAGCAGGTACAAGACCACGAGAGAATGGTTGCGGCAGAAGTCTCACGAGGCATGCGCGTTCTGCGTACAAATCGAACCCGGAGAAATACCAAGACTCCAATTAGACCTAGTCTTGTCGGCGCTTTAGAATTTCGATCTGCCCTTGCTCAGCTTCAGCGTGAGAGCAACTGGCAACTTTCCAACATATCAGGCCGCAGTCATTCATTCAACCACATCCCTCATCAGCGACAGCGCGGAGCTTCCTTTACCGAAACATCCGACCGATCACAGTCCCCACTAGATCCGCGTCTGGAACCGAGCGCCCAGGGACGGGCGCGTGCTTTTTCAACTAACACAGCGCCTGGAGTGATTACAGAAGCAGAAGACACCTCGAGCGATGGTGAGCAAGGGACAAAGCAGCCAGAGGGCGCCGCCAAAGTCTCATGGCCTTCGCCATCTTTTACCGTTGGTGGAAATCTAGCCCCTCCCCCCACCAACCAGTCTCCAGCATCAGCAAATGCAACAGACAAAAACCAACCGAGTCAGAAGCTGCCATCGCTTATGGTGCGGCCACCTACGCGCCAGGGCGGCCAAAGCGACGGCTCCGCACCCACCTCGCCGTTTCCTCAATTCTCAGATTCTCCTGCGCTCCTGACACCGTCACCAAACGCAGAGCCTAGCGAGTTCATGCTGCCTTCTCCGGTTGTAGGACGACGCATCGAGCTACCCGGATCTTTACACGAGTGCGAATGCCTTGCCGAACCGAAGCCTGTCTCTTGGTGGCCATATTCTATCTTGCCGCCGCCTCACATTATCCTGGCGACTCTGTTTCCAACACTGCAAGGTTGGCGTAGCAAGACCTGGTGGGACAGATTTGTCAGCGCCGTATCTGTTCCTAGCATTTTCCTGTTGGTCCTGACGTTGCCTGTGGTTGAGCCAGAAGAAGACGAAGACGACCATACTGATGTGACTATAGCCTCACCATCTGGTCATGAGGTTCCTGCATGTGATGCTGATCGGCTGGCTCAGACAAGTGGTCAGCGAGGAGTTGCCACAGAGTGGGAAAGATATCGAGATGAGGCGACTCGCAGCAACAGTCACACTTCGTCATGTCGCCAGTCACCGTTGCTTTCAGCTCTGGCAAACGCGAATACTCTTGTCAATTCATCAGGCGCAGCCGAAGTGGCCTCCACATCACTCGCGAACAAAGCGGTATCAGATTTTCCCTCTGCCGGCAATAGTGCTGCCGACCCTGGGACCTGGAACAGGTGGCTAGTTTGTGTACAGCTGTTTACGGGGCCTCTATTTGGGGTCGTTATCGTGTGGGCTAACCAATTGGACGAGTGGGAAAATCCAAAGAGAACGCTAGTCAAGATGGTGCTGTATTCGTTGCTTTCATCGTTGGTCTTGTTGGCGATATTGGTCATTGCCACGGTCGAGCATATCCGGCCCAAGCACCACTACATTTTGTGTTTTCTGGGGTTCGTGATTAGTATCGCATGGATTTCGACAATTGCCGGCGAGGTGGTCGGTGTCTTGCAGACGCTCGGCGTAGTGCTGGACATTTCGGAAGCTTTACTGGGGTTGACCATTTTCGCAGCGGGCAACAGCGTTGGCGACTTGGTGGCTGACATCACCGTGGCTAGACTTGGTCACCCCGTCATGGCACTGTGAGTACTAGAACTAAGCCAGAATGTCGAGTTACGCTAACTTGATGACTAGGTCCGCGTGTTTTGGTGGTCCGCTGTTGAACATTTTGCTGGGCATTGGTATCGGCGGCGTCTTGATGATGATTCAGGGCGCGAACCATGAGAGAGGCAAGCACCCTGATCAGCCGGTGCACTACGGCCCGTATCCTGTCAATATTGGGGGTACGCTGATGGTCTCGTCCATCTCGCTGTTGGCCATCTTGGGCGGTCTGCTGATTGCGGTGCCGATGAATAAATGGGTGCTGAGCCGCAAGATTGGCTGGACGCTGATTGCGGTTTGGTCAATCAGCACGGCCATCAATGTAGCTATGGAAGTGAGCGGCGTTTGGGGAGGCTCCAAGACTTGATTTTTCTTTTCTTCTGACGGTGTTGAGAAGCCAGCAGTTTTTTTTCTTTCCATTGGCGTTGACTTATTTCATGAGCACGAAGGTGCATGGAGTTGAGTATCTTACAAAGTCGGAAGTGTGTCTGACATCCGTGAGACGGGGATGCACATCCTTATCGTATAGAGAGCGATACTTGTGTGATTTCTTTTCTAAAAGAGTGTTTCTATATTTGTTGCTCGTTGACCATTGAACTACGTCTGTAGATAAACATGTTGCCGTGCTAAGTACGAGTCCAACAAAGGAGACTGTGATGACGCGCGATTCTGTGCCCATATCCACGGTTTATAAATACACGTGCAAGCACAGCCAAGATTGCCAAGAGTTCCAAGACTACCGCATGTCGCTGCGGCATCATGCAGTTGCGGCCCGAGCAGGATTGTGCTTGCATGCCCCGGGTTCGTCACCAGACACCCCATCACGGCCGCATAGCTGGGCGGCGTTTTTGCTCTATCTTGCGTGCCAAATGATGCAGAACGGAAGAGACGGGTCTTTTGGAATGCACGCCACCGGATTTTCGGCTAGAAATGCGCGACTCAGCTGGGCCAAGTTGTCTGAACAGCCCACCCAGAGACGGAGATTTTTACTACTTTTCCCACGCGCCGAACATCTTTGGGCTGCCGTACGACCTGCAAGCCACGCCTAATACCAGCAGCACACAAACGAGCACGGAGAGTGAGAGGTGCGGCTTTTGGCCGTGTCTTTTATTGGAGGCTTGGCTGGTCTTGGTGTATGTCTTGGTGCTTTTTTGCAGTGTTCTGTAGTGGTTCAACTGTTTGTTGGAAACAGCCAGCTGACCAGGTTTGCTGCCTCATCTTTTTTTTCAAGTATTTACAACGACTGCGGCCTGAGAGATGCTCCCGACACGAGAAGCAAAACACAAAGAGGAAATATAACTCTACAAGAATAGCGAAAAGGCTGTAGCCGCTGCCTCGCGCCACTGGAATAGCGTAGTTCTGGAGCGCCGTGGCGTAACTCCCTCTCGGCGACTCCCAGGAGGGCCTTGGCCGGAAGTACAGAATTTAGCCCAATTACAAGGAGGTGTCTTTTTTTTTTTTTGAGAGCTAAAAGACGCCCTCTGTTGAAATGTTGATATTGACCCGGCGCTCTTTGGAGCCCTGCTGGGTCGCGTAAATCGTGTACTACTTGATAAGCTTGGGCTCGTGCAACGTGCTACGTTGTCAAGGCAGCCACGTCGGGGCTTTTTGTTGACTGATGAACGAAAAAAATGAGTCAGAAGATGCGTCGCGTCCGGGGCTTCTCGGTGGCATGTGTTGAAATATCGCCTGCATTGCCCAAAAATATACATGCAGATGCAAGCTACTGCCGCATACACACACGGTGGGTAGGGCAGCGGGAGGCGTCTGCAAGTCGTCGACCTCGGTCGGTATGTACACGGCGCAGGTGAAAATAAACACAAAAGTTCACCGATCATGATGGGGCAAAGAAGCGAGACAAAGGAACGTGAAGGTAGTCACAGTTTGTGCAGTCTCTAACAGTAAAGGCGGCTATTTAAACACAAGAAGTTGAAAAAAGTTCTTTGTGTTCAACTGCCGGCGCACTCACCGACAACGCTGAGCAACGAGGCGGTGTCGTGAAGCGTGCAGCGGGAAAAAAAAACTTTCTTCTTCTTCTTTTCGTAATAATAAAGCGGCAAGTTGGAGCTATTTCGGCATTGACCAATAGTGAAGACGATGCTATTGGTCCCGACAGCCTGGTTCACGGCTGCACAAGCTACGTGCGAGAAGCCAGTTGGCTGAGCATTTTTACCTTGTTAACCCAGCGAGCGCTCCGGCGCCACAAAAGCCCAAGCCCAAAATAAATAAACATGGCGTGCCTGAAAACGCCACCAACAAGAAGGCGAAATTCGTAAGACGAGGGTTGGGAAATCGAGTGAATGGAGGTGAAAAGAGGGCGAAAAGAGATGAGGAGTTTTGCGTGCTGCAAAGACGACGAAACAATGAAAGCAAAGAGCCGAGGGTGGTTGATGTTCCGAATTGTTCTGGAAAAAAGAAGACCGTTGGTCGATGCAAATGCATGTAAGCCAAATGCTATGCAACGGCGCTTATAGACAGGGGGGGGGGGGGGGGTTGTGACTAAAAAAAGCCACATGGCAACGCAAAGCAAGAACAAGTGCGACGGCAAGAAAACAACAACATTCCAAGCGCGGGTCAAGGTGTACAAAATGGTTGATTGCAGTTTTTTTCCCACTCTCTCTTTTCTCCTTTCCCGTTTTGCAATGCAGTAGACGGCGCGGGTGAGTTGACATCCAGTCATTTGGGTGGGGAGACCGAGTTGCGAAAGACGCTTTGCCGGGCGGCTGGTGCTACACGAACAGAGGAAAAAAAAAAGGAGGCATGAGACCCGGACCACGAGCAAAAAAGTTGAAGGAGGAGATTTCCTTGAAGACCGGCGGCGGCTCGCAGTAGTAGTTATGCAGTGTCATGAAAGATGGGAGGAGCGGCAGCCAATGGATGGTCGGCGAAGCGCTCCGAAGGTGGGCCGGGGCGACGCAACCACGGAGCGGGTTATTTTGAGATGAGGGCAGGAAATGGAAGAGGTTTTTAAAAAAAGATACGAGGTTTAGGAGATGTATGTATGGGACATTTTGGACGAGGGCGGCTAACTAAATAGTTTTGTCCGCGATGAAAGGGAAACGTTGAAAAGCTGAGTGAACAAGGCAAAGAGCGAGGGAAGTTCAATGGAAAGATGAAAGTACGGGGCTGGTTCCGTATAATAAATATTCCAGAGTCCTTGGGCTCCGTCATTATTACGACTTTTTACAGGACTTTTTTTTTCTGTCACAATTATCTGATCAAATACTTTGAGATGATTGTCAGCAAGTTATTAGTTCATTCCCCCAATATTTAACTAGTTCTCGGGCCTTGTTTTGAGGAAGCTGGGCCGTGTTGACAGGCCCATTCTTTCCCCACAAGCTTCGCCCGACTTGCACGCAGGAAAAACCGGAGCTGCGCCGCATCCCCCGGTCCCGGGCCCCCCCGGGGGGGGGGGGGGGGCTGTCGTCCACTGGCGGCAGCGGCAGCCAGCCAAGAGTTAGGAAAAAGAAAAGGCAAAGCAGTGCCCCCGGATGTCGACATTCCGCCCGTCCGTCCACTCCTTCTTCTTCTCTGGGTCCCGCCCGGCCTTGCCGTCGAAAAGTAAAAGGGAACTATCAATGGTAGTTTCAGTTGCGAAAGAGGTAGTAGCATGGGCTGCAGAGGAGGAGGAGGAGGAGGAGGAGGAGGAGGAGGAGGAGGAGAGAAGCCGTTTGGCTCGACCAATTGCGTGGGATACGCCAAGGCGAACCGCCGAGGCTGCTTTTCAGCCAAGGCAAACGGCGGCGGCGGGCATTAGCAGCGGGTATAACAAGAAAACAGAAGAAAACAAGAGGGCAAAAGAGGGAAAAAGGCTTATACTTGGGACACGAGGAACATTGGCCATTGTTCTTCTTTCAACCGAAGAGGCTTGTCTCTGTAGCCCAAAATGGTCATGCAGGCATGTAGGCAACCCCCCCCTTTCATTGCTCATGGAGGTCTACCCAATCGCATGACTGGTTCGATTACGACCAGGGGTTGCGCAGCAGACCGAATCACAAGACGCGAGAAGAACTCTTTTTTTTTTTTCTTTTGGGAAGGGCTGGATGGGCGCGTAGCCGAGGGAGAAAAGGAAACAGGTCAGACTAATACTACCCAGTCAAGTAAGTTTGTGTGTGGTCCCAAGCAGACGAGGTTTTTTGGTGAGAGGAGCAACGAGATGCGGCCCCGCCCGAGACAGACAAACCACTGGCTGTCAACGATCGAGCAGCCGCCGAGCGAGCAAGGAGGCTCCACTGACGTATTTTTTATTTCTGTCTTTCTTTATTCAACCTTGGCGTCTTTTTATTTTATTTTATTATATTTATTTAATTCATTATTTTTTTTATCTCTTCTGGTTCATCGCCATCAGTGTACAACTGTACAGCTGTTTGCAAACTTGTGACAGCTCAAAGTACCTACCTCCTACCATTTACCGTGCCAGATACATTGAACCACCAGTTCCTCATCATCACCACCCCCCATCACCACCCATCACATCACCGCTCCCAAAACCTCATCTGGTCAAAAACTTGGCCCCCCCTCCCTTCCCGGGTCTATTTCCCCCCCTTAACCCCCGGCCTGGCCTTGAGCTTGAGCCCCGGACATTGCAGAGGGCTGGGCGGGGGGGGGGTGGTCGATTCTCAAACGACGCGACTTACACCACCGCCAGCCAGCCAGCCGTTTAGCTTCTGCCGTTGTTTGCGCTGGCACTATGTCCCAAAACACAGACTTCTTCTTTTTTTTTCCCCAGGCATCCTTGCATTGGCACTTAATTTTGTGACCCCTATCCGTACTTGCAAGCCGAAAATTCTGCTGTTAATGTTTCTAATTTTGATTATCATTGATTGTCTGGCGCGAATTGAAACGATGTTGCGGTACATTGCATACCACTGCAATATGCCGGTGGTAAGCAACCGATAGAGAGAGTACTGTAACTACAGCGCATCCAGCGCACCATCCACACATATATACCCGCTGTACCTTAGGTACGCTCTTCTGGACGGCGGTTCAGCTCGTCCATTGTGGCATCTCGTTCCAGCGCCTGAGGGTTTCTATGGCTGCCGTCAAGCACACGCCCCCTTGGGCTCCTCTCCACTCCCCCCCTAAGCCCCCCGCTCTTCCACTTCCACTTCCACAATCCATCATCCACCACTCCTTCTGCCTCTGTTTTTTTTTTATCTCGCTACTCCACACATCCCATCCCATCATTATCCCAAACCCCCCCCTCTAAACCCAATGCCACACACCCTCCTTCATCCCACCACTCGCTGCCGCTGAGCTCTCCTCCCATTACGAATACTTGCTGCTGCCAATATACATAACCGCCAGCACTGCCGCCTCCTTCCCACGCTTGCCTTTTCTTCCCTCCTTCCTTCTCAAGGCCGACACTCATCAATAATTGTCTTGCTCCTCTGCTTGATCGCCAGCAGCCTTCACTCCTTTAAATCTTCCTCATCGCCCACCACTCATCGCAGTCTACATTCTCGCACCACTCGTCTCCCCGTCTGCTTGGTGTTGTACGCGGAGCCTTTTCGATACCCGCTTACGTCGTTTCCCTGTCTTGGTTCCTCCGGCCGTTTGCGCGCCCGAATTTAAACGACCAAAACCTCTCTTTGCTTTCAAGATGCCTGGTCCCAAGCCCAAGCTCGAGGTCGCCACGCCTCTTACCAGCAACTTTCCTTCTGAAATTACATCTGCCGCTTCGCTCACCTCCATCAACACGGCCACACCCCTCTCCGGCCTGGGCCGGCCCCCCGTTCTGTGCAAGGTCGAGCCGGATTTTGTCAGGACGCCCATCACACCACCGGCCGCCTACGCCGATTTCCTCACCAAGGCCATGCCCAGCAACTCGCCAGCCGTCTCGCCAGTCGTGGTCACTGCCGAATCCACGGCGCTCAATTCTTCTTCTCCTGCCGCCGACGCGAGCGAAAAGGCCGACGACAGCAGCATTAGCAGTGCCAGCAGCGCCAGCGTCAAGGACAATGGCTCGGCCTCGACATCGCCCGCCACTTCTACTGCCTGCAGCACCAAGTCCTCCTCACCTACCTCGGCCACGACTCCCTCTGCCTCGGAAAAAGCTTCGGCTGTCGAAAGAGCCCTGGCTTTGGCCTCTGCCTCTCTTGTGCCCCCGAGCCCCTTCACCAAGGCGCCCATGTCTGCGCCGCCCACTGGGCCAACCTCGTTTCCCAGCTTCATGCTGCCCCCCAGCCCGGCCATATCCAACCTCGACTCGCCCCTGAGTGCCGTCCCCTTGAGTGCTGCCCCGATGAGCGCCGTCAGCTCACTGCTCTCACCGTACAGCGGCCGCACCGCTCGCTCCGTTTTTGACTGGGACGCCGCCCTCAGGGCTCACTACGCCGATCAGAGAAGGACGAGGTCGCGCACCAGCGTCCGCAACATTCGCGAGGTTGTGACAAGGACCGTCACCTATACCCCGCGCATGGAGCCCGCTCCCCGCGGAAAGAGACGCAAGGTCGAATAGTCAAAGGCCATGCCTTTCAACTTTACAGTTTTCGACTGGTTTCGAGACTGACTTTTTTGCATTGTACTGAGACGACGTTATGACGTGCATGGTTGCTGCCCGGTCAGCAGCCGTGCAACACCAATATCAGCAACTTGACCTTCTTGGGATTGCATATGAGCAAAATCTCTTTGGCACCAGAGTTTTGTTTAACCCATCCTGTTTTCTTATGTTTTTTTACCATATATTCATATTGAGTGTTTTAGACGATTTTCCCTTTTCACATTGCTTTATACCTCCGGGAGTTTTACGGGGAGCACCAAAAACCACAAGGATGACGCTTCGGTGCTAATGCGCTGGCCGATGCTGAAGGCATCCACGATTTTACGCTACAATATTGGGAGAAGGATAGGCGCTAGGATGGCATGACGGATCAGACAAGTACTTGCAGAGCTCGTGTTGCTCTCGTGGCTTGTGTTCTTGTCTTGTCTCTTTTTCACTCTGTTTTTTTTTTCTTTTTCGAATTTTCTGCTTGGATTTTGTATTTAGCATGGCCATTGGCGGGTATTTGGACATGCATGTTGTGGGAACAGTTCAAGATATGGAAGGTGGTTCGCACCGACAGGCACAATCCCACTTCTTGTCGATTCTCTACCACCAAGGAGTCACAGACAGATTAGGTAGCAAAGCGTGTGACTTTTCTCTATTTTCTGACTTGAAGTGTCCATCTTTGACCAGATGTGTATTGTGATCTTGATGTCTGCGGCGATGCCATGTCTCAGCCATGGCCGAGGGCTATGCAGAGTGGACAGCACAGCCTACTTTCAAGTACCGAGCCGATGTGAACGCACACGCAACGCATCAAGCCACCACGATGACTCAAGGCAGCGGTCCATGGGGGCCAAGAATGCAAAGCCCATGTATGACTGGACACTGGGCGGCGGGAGGGTTACCAGTAATAATAGCGACGCAGACGCACGGAACGCTTCAGGACTTAGCAATCGAGCTTACACCTACCTTGCCTTCAACATATGCGCGCGCGCGGGGGGGGAGGCCGTGCAAGGGAAACACACGGCAAAAGCAGCGAGGTCATTTTCACCCTCGGACAAGGCGCGAGTGGACGATCCGAGACCCCAAGCATACGGAGTATTTTCATGATTTTTAAAAAAAGAATGTATGCAATGATACGCTGCAGCAACGGCGTCAGCCATAACATGGGTGTTTTTGTCGGGTCTTTTTTTCTAATTACTGATAACTAGTTGCACTTGCATTGCAGTAGGGTAGTATTGATAGTTAGTACCGGCATAATGAGTTAGACACGCCTCCCCTCCCCTCCCCTCCTCTCCCCTCCTTTGCCCCACCCCAAGCCTTTTTTTTTTTTGCCCGATCTACAACATGTTATTTTCTTTTCGAGTTTCGAAAAATAGTTGTAGATAAACTGTACGTATAGTGGATCAATTTTTACTTGACCACGCGCGGCAGGGATCAATGATTGTAAAATGGGACATGTGGCTAAAAAAAATGCCCGTCAGCCCTCTCTCCCCCTCTCTCTCTCTCTCCCCTCTTTCTAGGCGACCAAAAAAACCAACTTACATAGCCGTGGAAGAGGGGGGGGGGGGGGACAAGGATTAGCGCAGCGCTGGTATAGCTAAAACGAGAAGAGCCGACGGCTTCATGATTTGGTTTCCGAAGGGGGAGGGGAAGATGGATTTAAGAAAGAAGCACTGTTGTGCGTGGGGAAAAACAAAAAGTTCATCATGATGATGGAAACAAGAGTTTTACACCCAACAATGGCAAATTGTGTAAATACTCGTGAGACCCCCCCACCTGCCTTTTAGCCCGTAGGTAGTAGAACAGAGCGTCAAGTTTCAAGAGCCACTAACGAAAAGAGAGTGGAAATAGCACATCCCTGTAAATACAGGAATTCAAACCATCAGATTGGGGGCATTGGCCTCACTGGACAATGACTCTGTACTGATAGACACTCCCTAGGTAGATGTGCTCTGCTGTGGCTTGGCAACGATGCTATAACCACTTGTTGTGCGACATTATATACCTTACCGAAGGTAGTTACTGGTGGTATATCTATCCATCTACTAGCCAAGTCGTTGTAACCCATCAACCTTTCTTTTTCTGCAGTGGGGGTACTTGTTGTAGTTGCGAGAGCAGAGTGGATTAGTTCTGTAAATATTCGGATATGTATCTTTTTAATCAATTCTCCTATTATAATGGTGGCTTGATGATGCGCATTCGAGCCCATTCACGACTGTTTTTTTTTCCGTCCTTGCCCCCACAAGCAGACAACATTTTGAGGCGCAGAACTGCATCGACAATTCTTACACTTGTTTTTTTTTTAACCTTCTTTAGCACATGCAGCCCGTCTCTATCCGTGCTTCTCATACCGCCTTTTGAGGCTTCGTCCCGGGGGAGGTTATGATGCATCATCTGACAGGGAGGCTTTTGACCACCCCAAACTTGTGCAACACCCGCCACTGTCTTTTTTTTTATACCATGATCTGCCTTTTTTTTTTTCGTGATTTCTTTCACATTCATCATGTATAGTGTTTGCCCATCTTCTGTGCAACTGAACTGAACGCTGTCACGTCAACGGTAACACGCCAACCTGTTTGTGTGACGAGCTCGTGCCCCCCCCCCACCAAACCCACCGTTGGCCGAGTACCATCGACTTGGGCGGGTAGAAGCGAGAGAGGCAAGGCGAACAAGCAAACTGGTTTTGTATTCATCGAGTTTTTTGCAACAGGGAATAATGTGCTATGATGCGCCCTTGTTTCGTATTTGATCGTTGCGGCCGGCCCTTGCGCGTATCGCCTTTTGGGGGGGGGGGGGGGGGAATCTCTCCTCCTCGCTTCAGCCAAACAGCTTTCCACATGTATTAGCTGTATTGAGCTGGCTGCTTGGGGCATATTTGAAGTCCTCTTTGCTCCCATCGGCAATTGCCCAAGCTAAATTGCAAAGCTAGACTACTCCCATGTTCCGCGGTGGGGGCAAGAGATGGGAGCAAACAAAGCTCCCTCCACATGTGATCGGCCTGATATCTCAGAAATCTAGGCTGTTCTCGACTTATACCTCTTGTAATTGCGGAGGTTCCCGTGGTTTTTTTTTCTCTAGAGGGGCATGAGGGGCTACGGCGGCACGTAGTACAGCACGGGCTCCGTCACTTGCACAAATCGGACAACACCCCCGCCCCTTCGCCGCCAGTGTCAGCGACTTGCTTGTATAACACCAGCCCCGGGTTTTGCTCACCTGTTTCTCTTTATCCTGCAAAAAAGACACAAACGAGACGGTCAATGGCTATTCTCTTCCCTAGATGCCCGGATAACAAGTTGCATT